CGATAAACAAAAACGGGATACAAAAATAACCATTGGAAAAGGTAAATATTGTCGCTACTCGTAAAACCTTGCTGATGCTGTACGCAATTACAAACCTTATTCGGTTCACTTTATGAAGCTGTACTAATGTCTACGTCTCATTAAACCAAACAAAAAAAACATAATTCTGTAATTGGCGTCTTCATTATCCTGCAAAACGTAGTTTGCACGCGAGGAAATGACTCAGGGGAAAAGAAGAAATGCGGAGAAAAATTTTGTTTAAAAAAAAATCATTCGGACGACCGTGAACCCGTGTTCTTGGCCAGGGGATGAGCCTATCCAGATTGCTCGTTTCATTTTTATCCTGGTAATGCTCATGAGGCACGCCAGGCTTTGTGGATCGTTATCGAGAATTCGATTGAGGGGAATTTACATTTCAATTGAACTATTTGATTAAAAATATTTCTCAATTGCTACGTACTCCTATTGCGCTTGTTATGATATTTAATTGTGTCACGGAAATTTGATTAATTATTTCGAAAAAGTCTCATTTCTTTTGCTACTGATGGAGTATTGGATGCGGTCAACGCTTTGTTCGGAATTTGGTGGAACGACTAGTGGGGAATGTTAACCATAACAATAATGAAATTCTGTAATTTGACTAATTGAGTGGCCAAAATGGTAAACCAAAAAATATCATGAATCAATAAAAAAAATGTTATGATTATTCAACCTACACATTGTCATTTTATTTCTGAATATTCATGTTTTACTGAAAATTCAATCAAGTTGTGAAATTTCCATCTCAGTCTCACTGAAAACTCATGAATTTCCGTGAATTCTACTTAAAACTTGAAATTTCATGAAATTTCATGAATTTTAATATATCTTCCATGAAATTAAAAAAAATTCTAACACTGTAGTCTTCCCTTCAGCACAATGTTATTTTTCATTTACTTTCCTACTTCTCCTAGAAAAGTTTCTCTCAATTTTTCAATTGATGATTACTTTTAGCGGCTCATACTTGTATTTCTAGAAGTTCTACATAAAGTAAAAAAATACAAGAAAAATTAGTCTGGAGCACGGCTACAAAACTTGAAATTTCACAACCATTTTTTCCCTAAATCCATTTCAATGTCACTCTCATGAAATTTACTATCTTTCATGAAATTACAGAAAATTTCTAACAGTGCATAATGGATGTTACAAATAGTCGCCGTTTCTACGAGTGGACATAGGATTCTTCGGAAAGGAGAACATACCGAACCTGCAGACTCCTCCTAATTAGTGGTTATTTAAATTTTCATGCAACTGTTTGTGAAAATCAACGTGACTTCAAATGCAAGAATCCCAGCAATGTTGATTGTGATAATAATAAATCTCTTCCAGCGGTATTTTAACTGTCATGTCTGTTATTGGCTGAATAATCATGGAATTTCTTCATTATCTGTTTGATAATTATACAGCAAGATGATATCATTTGATTAACATTATAATTAGCACTCCCTCATGGTCACGTTCATTGGATTTCGGAGCAATTCGTCGACGTCATCACAACCATTTATCAATAAAAGAGAACCAAAACTTTTGAACACTTCGATAATTTGTTATGAAGGGCTAAAACGGGATGATTCGTCTCGACTTCAGAACCAGTTAGTTTTTTAACAATATCTCCTAATTTCGAGGTAGAAAAGTAAGGACTACACTTACAGAAAAAACCACTTAGTATCACAAAACTAATCTCTTACGACAGATATATCATCACTTTAGTGTTGAGCGTTGAAAAATGGTTAAAAATACTAATAGGTTTGACCCGGTAAATCGTGAATAAAGGGTTTTCATATTGAATGAATACCGAATTCATGAAAAGAAAAACCTTCAGGCATTTCTGGAAAAGGACCGTTACTTTCTCTAAATTGGAGTGAGTTTAACAGACAGAGAAAAAAACCTCATCTTCTTATTTGAAGGGGCCATAGCTGTTTCAAATAGAACTGCACACCGTACCAAGATTAGCCTCGGTCCAAGAGTAATCGAGACGAGACTGCGTGTAGAGCAAAACTTCTGACGAGAGTCTCACCGAAATCATCGGGGTCTCCGAGCGTCATACCTTGCGACGCTCAAACATCGCCAGAGTCATACCTTGAAAGGGTCAAACATCGCAAGGCTCATAACTGACAGGGTTCAAACAACAAGAGCAAGCAGAACAATCACAAGGCTCAAACGATCATGAATCGATCGAACTAATCAGATCTCTTCCGTTTGATCTTAGTGATTATCCTGCGTGACGCTGTCGTTTGCTCCTTGTTGCCGGTTGATCCACGCATGGTGACCTTGGTAACGTTCGAGTCCCGGCAAGGGTCATACCCGGAAGGCATGACCCTTGCGCACTAAGAGAAAAATCGATATAATATCACAAAAATCATCTCTTGAGCGAAAAACATCCCATACATATTTGATCAATTTTTGATCAATTTATGGTAGGTTTCAGACAAGAAATCGCTGCTCTTCGGACTAAGGAGGAACTTCCGGAATGAAAAGGTGATGTCTTTTTTCGAAATGAGATAATATTCCTTAAAAGACAAGAATAGTTTAACAGAAGGAAAAGAAGATATTGCTTCCCTTCGAACTCAAAGCGATTGAGCGTAAGCGACGGTTATATTTTTTTAATATCTGGAGGTTTTCCACTGCATAAACTCTCTATTCATTCAATACAAAAGTCTCTGATTCATGATTCACTGAATCGAAGCTTTTAATATTTTTAGTCATTTTCTCATCTTTTGACACGAAAAAACCGATTTCTTGTGATAAGAAATTCTCATTTTATCATGACATGTTCATGTTCAAGTCATGAAAACTTTACCGAAATCTGACATTGTCTGACACATTATCCGGAATTCTTATCCCAAGAAATTTATCCTCAAGAGATGAAATATTTGGCGCATGAAATTAGGTTTGTGATATTATAACGATATTTCTTTCAGTGTGCCAGGTGATTCTCGGGACTTTTGATCCTTGCAAGGTATGAACCCTGGCGATGTATGACTCTCTCATTTATTGATAATTTTTAGTTTTCCATTTCGTATTCTATTTGGCACCCTATGTTATTGCATTCCTATGACCCCCCTGATTCTTCAAAATCATGAAGCAATGGCATCAGTAATTTCGGCAATTCCAGTAGTGGCCCTTGTAGTGAGACTACTCAGATAAACTCTGCCATGTTTCATGAAATATAACATGTCAGATAATTTTCCTGGATCTCTGATTATGATTTAGACTTGACTTATCCCCAAAAGTAGATAAATTCCAACCGCTCCAATTATCATTAATACATCTCCTCCTACACGATGTCTAAACATCTGACGGCATGAGGTGATTTCACTTTAGTTAATTTCTTTTTGGTAACTCTGGATAAATATTGACAATAATTTCGTTTGTTGTAATTTTAGAGTTGTCTAATAAAGTGATGCCGTGATGAGGAGACCATTCAGTTCTCGAAACGTTGGCGATTGGAAAAATAAGCGAGGGGCGGGTTACTTATAAAATCACTGGATCACTCGATTAGAAATCAAGGAAGAAATGACCAGAAATCACCGGACATCAAGTGATTTCCATTTTCGAGTGATTTCTAATGACTTCTGAAAATCATCGGAAATCAGTAGAAATCGTAAAGAAATCAGGCGATTTCAGAAATAGTTAGAAATCATCGATGAAAGTGAAACTCAAATATTGTATTCGAGCTCACTCATACGATCCCGCCTGACCCTCATGACTTTCTTACGCACTTCTTACTATCACATCCATAAGGCCCTTTTAAACTCTTTGGTTCCCCGAATCTCACCCATATACGATTATCGACAGATGTCCCACTTTGGACCCGAAATCATGATTTTTCGAATGATTTCTTGAAATCAAGAAATCATCACAATCTACATAGAGAAAAATATTTAGTAAAAATTACGGAACTCATAATTCGCTCACCATTGCGGAATCGACTCAGAAAATTTAAGTGACGGTATCGTAATTTTTCACAGGAGATTCAGATAAAAATTCCGGAAAGCTCTGGAAAAATTCCGTGACAGTTCCGTAAAATACGAGAAAAATATGTAATTTTTATTGAATATTTCTCTCCGTGTACTAGAAATCCTGAAAATCACGAAAAATCAAAAGAAATCATGATTTCCAATTCTTATTGAGAAATCACTAGTGATGTCGCGAGACATTTCACGCGACATCACGAGACTATACTTTGGAGGGATTGTCTCGGTCTCAGTGAACGCGGAAATTCTTTATCTCGTCTCAGTCTTGAAATACGAATACTATCGACTCCTCTCGTGATGACTCCGATTCGATTTATCTAATCTCGGGTTCCAGTTTTTCTTGTTTTTTATATGCAAAAAACCGAGACGAGACAAACCGAGGCAAAAACCGAGATTTTACATAAAAAACACGAAAAACTTGAGACCGAGATGAGATCAATTGACTCAGAGTCAGCACGAGAGAAGTCGATACTGCGTATTTCGAGACTGAGGCGAGAACAAAGATTTCCATGTTCTCTGAGACCGAGATCGTCTCTAAAGTTTTGTCTCGTAAAGTGTCTCGCGGCATCACTAGAAATCACAGAAATCATCCAAGAAATCACAGAAAACCATTCCATTCTGGAAATCACTGAGCCGCCCGATTTAAGAGTGACCAGTCCCTCGAAAATAAGGGTGTTGTCTGCTATTTTCACCTTTACTATATTAATATTGCTGATATTTACCGCATAATGGCCCAGTATGTATTACTGACTTATCCCCTTTCCCCCACTTCACATCTACTGAATTTGTCAAAAAATTCTGCATAACATCCCTAATGACTATTACTAATTGATTATTACACACCCAATTAACACCTAAACCTGTGTCTAGGATTCTAATAACTATGAATAATCTAGTTTAATTGAATTAGAAACAATGGAATTCGTGGTCTCGTATTTCTAGCGAATAAGAGATATGAAAAAAAAAATGGATTTCGCCTCTTACCAAATTGTCGGGATGCAGATGATGATGTGCGTAATCTCGGGGATTTCCACGGGAGCCACTGGGGGAACTGTGCCTTCTGCCGCGGTCGCTCTCAATCTCGTCCTCGTAATCCTGAAATTACGCGGTGGTGCACGTTTAGCGGCTGTTTGTCATCAATAAAAGACAGTTATTCTTGGTTTTCAAAATATTCAGGTATAATATAAGGATGTGGTTGACATTGTGCAGCAATTATCTGAATCATTCGGTTTTATTCGGTTGTTTTTCTCTTTGAAAACACATTTGGGCTTGTGATATATCAAGTACCTGGTTGTCGCACTCATCATCATTGGAGAGGGCGAGGTCGGATGTGGCTACCTGATGTTGCTGGGCACGTCTGCAACCCGGCCTGGAAGCCCAAATATCGACGCTGTTGTCGGCTATTCTTTTATCATTTCATTAATGTTTTTAAAGGAACTATTATCTTCATTTTTCGACTTTTTTCAACTTCCAGAAACGTTTCTCACCAATTTCTTCACTCATCTGCACCCACTGAGTTGAAAAATGATTTTTTTGCGAGAGAAAGAAGTGAAATTCAATGCTCATAAGTGTCAGAAACTAAGCCAATCAACTTTGTTGGGCACGGTAACCCTTGGATACGCGTAATCGATCGGTTTTCCACGTTTTCAAGGGCTGAGAGTGTCGAAGAGTGAAAAAAATGGACAGGATGGACGTCCCTGAGGTCAGGAATTTCGGAATTTGTCTCCAATTTTTTTTATTAATCAATTTATTTTTGGAGGATTATCTGAGTTTCAGGCACCTAGTTCGGGGCATATCAGCCCCCAGTCCGCTGTCCTCACTCGGCGACCGGTACTCCTGATTCTCCCGCGTCAGCAGGGGTCCAGTGACACCCAGAGGATCTCCCTCGACGTCCACCAGCCTTCCCGGACGACCGCCACCCCTCTGCGACAAATCACAGAGACAGTCCCGTAATCCTTGCCTCTGCCATCTTTTATTTCTTCATTTTTTTCAAATTCCCGGTTTTAATGTTTTTTATCCATCGAGCTTGCCCGAGCTTTGAGTCACCAGTCCGACCTCGTTTCCTTTCGCAATGCGGGGGGGAATTCAGAGCGAATATAACGAACGTTGAGAGGATAGGGGGACCAAACGAATCCTTGAATTGCGGCTGAATATTTGCTTGAGAAATTCTCTTCGACTAATGCGTGGAAAAATATTGAAAATATGAGAAGAACAAGGTTCTCGTAATGAAATCGCCATGCAACGAGATGATAATAGTCGGATTATGATGAATTGTGATCAGTGATGCCATGAGAGACTTCACGAGACATTGCGAGACAATACTTTGGAGGGATTGTCGCGGTCTCAGTGGACACGGAAATTTTTGGTCTCGTCTCAGGCTCGAAATACGCAGTTTGGACTCCTCGTGTGATGACTCCGAGTTAATTTATCTCAGCTCGGTTTCCAGTTTCTCAATTTTTTCTAAAAAGATGGCAGCTGGATAAAAATTTTGAACAAAGAAAAATTCAGTAGCGAAGCGGTAAACCGGGTTAAGTCGATTTTGACTATTGGCCAGTTTTTGACGAATATCTGGGAATCTAAAAGAGATAGAAAATTTTTTGTCATGATCTTTTTTGTAGAGCCAACTGAGGGTTATGAAAAAGGTAATGAGCAAAATTTTGCTATCTCTCTTAGATTCCGAGATATCTGTCATAAAATGGCCAAAAGTCAAAATCGACTTAACCCGGTTTACCGCTTCGCTACTGAATTAAAGATATTGATAATTGAAGGACTTATGATTTTTTGAAAATGGTTAGTTTAAAAAAAAAAAAATTTCCAAATTGTCCTCAATATTTCTATGGGGTTTCAAGCTATTAAATGTGAGAAACCCGTCAAAATGACACGTCATACAGAGCATTATTATTATTGTTTATACGAGAAAACTTTTTTTTTCAATCGTTAATTACTAAAAAAGATAATTTTTTTTTATTCTGCAATTTTTATCAAAAATTGTCAATAAAAAGTCAAAAATTTTGGCGCCATTAGAGTTTGTCTGTCGCCGTAAGAAAATCGCTATTATTCATGCAATTATTTCCGAAATGAGTGAATATTCAATTGAATAATTAAAAATGAGTCAATTCAATTGAATTCTCGATTACCAACAAAGGAAAGCTCTTCGGAAAATGTATTTCCATTGTATAATTAGAGAAATAATAATTTTTCACGCAGAAAATCATACTAAATATGAATAGTAGAAGATATTGAGTCTAACTTCCACCATTTACGAATATTTAATCAAATAGTCACTTATTTGGTCGAGAATTGCATAAGTAATAGCGATTTTCGGTCATTTTTAATACTTGTTTCAATGAAAAAATTAATAACCGTCGAACTACGGTAAAAGACTATCTCTAATAGGCGCCAAAATTCTTGAGATTGTTTTGACAACTCTTGGTGAAAATTTCAGATTAAAAAAAAATAGCTTTTTAAGTAATTAACGATGAAGAAAAACGTTTTCTCGTATAGACGCCGTCAAATTGAAGATAATGTTATGTATGACATCTCATTTTGAAGGGTTTTTCATGTCCTTTCAGGGTGCCAAAGAGCGATTTGATAACTTGAAACACCGTAGAGACATTCGGGCCAATTTGAACTCATGCTAAATGGGTACAATGCAAAAAAATTTCTTTCAGTTCGCTACGGAAAAATATTTTTTTGGACAAAAATTTGCAATTTTCAAAAAATCATGACTCCCTCAATTATCCAATTGTTCTTTTTCCAAAATTACTGTCTAATCGCCATCTTCTCAGAAAATAAAACTGAGACGAAAATCCCCAGCATCGAATTTTTTTGTCCTGCCGATTTGGGATGAATCTGCTCATACACTGAGAGAAAAATATGATTCTTCTGACTATATTCCATCACCATCGAACCATAGTCAAAAAGTCCTCAACAATTTCTCATGGGTTACGGTAACTATGGCCGGAGAAGTGATTATTACAATGGAATGTAGTCATTGCTACTATTTTATAGTTCTACTCACGATAGATTTGTCGTGGTTACTAAAAAATACGCTTGTGAAGTTACTATAATGTTATGTATCGCATACAAAAAAAAATCGTATCGTTCACCAAAACTGCCTCAACTATTATCTTATTGTAAATCGAAATTCAGATTTTTCTCTCAGTGTATGTAGAAGACCGAGACGAAACAAACCAAGACAAAAACCAAGATTTTACTTTATGAAAAACCGAAAAATTTGAGACCGAGATTAGATAAATTCACTCGCAGTCATCACGAGAGGAGTCGATACTGCATATTTTGAGACTGAAATGGGACCAAAGATTTCCATGTTCATTGAGACCGAGACCATCTGTCCAAAGTATTGTCTCATGAAGTCTCTCGCGGCGTCACTAATTGTGGTGAAAAATGTCAAAAAGTATGCGCTGATTTAACCCGTCACTGCCATATTCCTTGAATCCTTTTTGCCTCAATGGACATTTCAATATGGCGGCGCCGAGAAATTTCAATCAGCTTGCATTTTCAAATCTTCTTCAGGCTTACTATTCATCATCAAACTATCATCTGTTCACTTTTTGACAATCTAGTGGTGAGAACAATTTCATCAAAATATTTTCACGTTATTTTTCATCATCGATCGAGAAAAAATAGTGGAGCACGCATTCACTTGGTTTTGATACATTCTCCAACCGCCCTATGCCTCTCAAATGGTCGCAAGATATATGAAAAAAATTAAGAATGGCATGAAAAATTGAAAAAAATTATTTTTCATATTCTCTAGGTTTCTGCATTTCGGCTAAATGCAATATCGTCATGGCAAAACTTACGGCACGAACAGAAAAATTTCAGCAAAGCTCAGGCGAACTCGGTGGGATAAACGTTAGAAATAAAATAATTATAAAAGAACTTGAGTGTTTTCTTCTGTTTATGAGACAAGTTTCGAGTATTTTTGTTCAACAGCTCTTGGTTGGTTCTGGTTAGGCAGGTATCGATCAAAAGCACAGGGATTGCGTGTCATTTTACAGATTTATGGTGGACTTCGATTGGTTCATTACTCAATGACAAGACAAGGCTAGCGATAGCGGTATTGAAGCGCTAAAATGATGGAAAAAAATAGTGGAAAAAAAAGTTTCGGTGGAAGCTCCTGTATCCTAATGAAAAGCCAAGTGGTGACAAGGCTTTTTTATATAACATGCGGCATTCGTCAGAGACGGGAAATGAGAAGAAGAGAATGAGGGAAAGAAGGCAGATACTACCAGGCTTAATGACATAATCAATAGACTCGTGCTCGTGCTTTTTTCTTTATGTTTTTTGGTTGCTTGATAATATCCGGGTTCCTATGGGCCATCCTTCCTCGCACCTCTCCAGACAAAGAGTACAGTTCATTCATATTTTCACATATATTGTTTTTTTTCAGGAGTTCCATTAAGGAGCTTTCTCTGCAGCTAAACTAGCAGTGTATTATTCTTTTCTAAGGAGTCGAGATATCCTGTGTGTACTTGTGTGTGACAACATAAAATATTCAGTTGCTGAATGGAATAAGCACAATGGTAATTTTTTGGTGAATTATTCATGGATTTGGGAATATCTGGGGCATCATTTCGAGAGAAGCAAATGAATCAAGATGATGATTATGTTTAACTTGTCGTTTTTTATCACGAGAATGGACCACTGGAGTGAAATGAGAATTCAATAGGGAAGTGGTGAAATGGTTTGAGTTGATGTAGCATGTTTGCACAATTGTGAAATTATCTCGGTAATGAGTGGTCTATGGGGAATTATCAGGAGACGTGTTTGTTGGAGAATTTTTTCCCCTTCAACGCGTGTCTGCGGAGCATCTATTGTAGAAGTAGTCGTTATTGAGATAATGTGTAATTGCAGGAAGATTTCATTGTTAGGTACAATCGTTTTATGATCTCAGTCCTGAATTAGTTTAATTACGGCTTTGACAATAGAGACAAAATACAGAATAAAGAATATTATCATTTTTAGTTATATATGGAAGACTGATTAGTTTATGTTTGTTTCATTTATGAGTTTACTGGTTAAGGTATATCCCTAGAAAACACGTTTTCCTTAAGATCGTCCCCGTGTTTTTTTCTAGATAAAGTTTATAATAGTTGCCGGTGATTAAAAAAAATTCTAACTAGTTATACTACACAGTTTAGGAGATAATAAATAATGAAATGTGGGCTTCTATAACACGCGAGGTATAGGCCAAACGGGGTTTATGAGTCCCCCTGAACTCGATTTTTCCAACTCATGAGAAAACGGCTCTTACAATGTTTTTAAAAAACTAATCCGTGACAGATTGATAAATTTTGAAAACGCCGATTTTTTTTTTGTAAAATTTTGTGCTACAGTTTCTGCGACATTCAACTCTACAAAGTAAAAATTTCGTGAAAGCATTTTTTTTTATTCAAACAATTAATCAACGAATAATTCCTTTGATTCAAACAGTCATTGTTGCCTGCATCAACAACATATGAGGATAACATACTCAATGACTTGGGAGAATGCAATAAATTGTCATTTAGAATTTTTTCCCAAAATCTATAGAGATTAACTTTTGGGTGCTAATGTCTTAGGATATACCTTAAGGAGCGAAATCAGTGCGATCCGATGCAAAATCTCATGTCGTGAAATTGTTTGCCAAGATTGTTGGGAAATCCACTATTAGTTTTTTCTCACTTTTGAGTTTGTAAGGTATATCTCTAGAAAACACGTGTTTCTTAAGATTGTCCCCATTTTTTTCATAGATAATATCTATAATAGTCTCCAGCTATTCAACAAAATTCTATCTTGTCGTACTGCACAGTTTAGGAGATAGTAAATAATGAAATACGAGCTTCTAACACGCGAGGTACAAGCCAAACGGGGGTTATGGGTCCCCCTGAACTCGATTTTTCCAACTTATGAGAAGACGGTTCTTACGATATTTTTAAAAAACTAATCCGTGATAGATTGATAAATACCGAATACGGTGATTTTTTTATAAAATTTTGTACTACATGGTTTCTGCGATATTCAAGCCTAAAAATGGAAATTTCGTGAAAGCATTTTTTATTTGATTCAAACAATTAATTGATAAATAATTTATTTTCCAATTCAAACAATTACTGTTGCCTGCATAAACAACATATGAGGATAGAAAAACTCAATAACTTAAGAGAATGCAATAAATTAAGTCATTTAGAATTTTTTCTGAAAATCCATAGGGACTAATTTTTGGGTGCTATTGTCTTAGGATATACCTTAAGAAGCGAAATCATCGCGATCCGATGCAAAATCTCATGTCTTAAAATTGTGTGCCAAGATTGCTGGAAAATCCAATATTAGTTTTTACTCACTTTTCAGTGTTTAACAAGAAATCTTGGCTGATCAGCTTCTTATTTGACGAATGAGAAATTCACATATAAAATAGAGGAGAGCATTTTCCGTAGGAAATTGGGAATTACTATACAAGCGGAAAAAACAAGTTTCTAACTCGTGTGATTACAGTCCTCGCCTTCAGCTCGTAACCCTCACGCTTGTAAAAACTACTAACCAATCACGAGGATCATACTGATACTAGATATTGTTTGTATTGGTGGGAAAAAAATTCTCATAAGAAATTCTGATCCTGAAAATGATGAATCTTGATTTTTTTTTTAAATTCTCATTCAATAATGTTTTTCAATGTTGTCTTATTCCATAGAACAACAATTTTTGTACAGGATCTAGCGCAAGTGGGTCACACGCAGAAAAAGTAGAAAGACATAGACAAGAGACATAGGATTTTTATTGTATTCTAGAAAATACTATAAAGGTCTTAAGACTCAGTGAAGTGTCGTGATGAAATATCAATTCAGTTCTTTCGAATTTATCGTTATCACTTACCGGAAGATCGTGGATAGATGGAGTTACCACAAGATCTGAGTGTGCCCTGTCGCCTTTTCTCTGAAAATGAAAATGTTGTCTCCATGAAAGTGATAAAATTCTTATAACTCGGCATGTCTTTTTCATTATATCTTTTTTCTTCGTGATTGCTACACTGAGAAGACAAGATTTTTCAGAAGTTCTTCTTTACTTGTATCAAAAAATTCATGGGTTGAGAATATCTTACACTGAGAAGAAAAAATCTTACGCCAAGAAATTTTATATTTGTCCGAAAGATGAGGGCAGTTGGTTCACATCAAGAAAACGAGTTCTGAAATCAACTCAAGTGGTTTTTATATTAAAACTAGGGGGCTACGCCCCCTCCTCGCTCCGCTTTGCTCGTCAACCCCCATATGACCTTCACGATCGTTATTATGACCCTTGTGACCCTTAATCTGACCCTCGTGACTCTCATGATACCCCTCGTGACCCTTATTTTGACCCTTCATTTTGGAGTCTTAATTTCGATCACCAAAGTTTTATCACCAAAAGTCGCTTTGGATTTTAACAATATAAAGATATATTGAGACCCTTATTTTGACCCTTGTGACCCTTAGTTTCTGACCCCCATAACTCTTATTTGGACCCTTAATCTGATCTTTGTAGTCCTTAAGCTGTTTCTTCCGACCCTCATTTGGTCCATTAATCTGACCCTCATATAACCCTCGCAATCCTTATTTTGACTTTGGTGACCCTTACTCTGACCCATATAACCCTTAATGTGACCATTGTGACCTTTAATCTGGCCCTCATGACGCTGTTTCCGATCCTCGGAACCCTTATTCGGACCCTTGTGGCCCTTATTCTAAACTTCATAACCTTTTTTAGCCCTTGCGACCCTTATTCTGACCTTCATAACCCTTATTTGGACCTTTTTAGACCCGCAATCTGACCTTTAATCTTGCAACCCTTAATCTGGCCCACATAACCCTTAATGTGACTATTGTGACCTTTAATCTGACCCTCGTGACGCTTATTCCGACCCTCGCAACTTTTATTCTGACCCTTGTGGCCCTTATTCTGACCCCCATGGCCCTTATCACCCTTAATTTCGGAGTCTTAATTTCGAATACCAAATTTTTATCACCAAAAATCGGTTGGGATTTTTATACTATACAGAGATATTTTAGAGTTGCGGCTAAAAACTATTAATTCATTCAACTTTACTTGGTATGAGAAATCGCTTTCTTACCATCAAGGGATTGTCCTCGACTTTAGGACAAGTACAAAATTTCTTGGCGGAAATTTTTTTTCACAGTGCAAGAAATTTTGCTCTTGAAAATTTTCAAGCCACAAGTTTCTCGATATAAGTAAAGACGTACTTGTCAAAAAACTTTGTTTTTCGTAGTGTATGATAAACGTACTCGAGTCATGGTGGCCCTCGGACGATAGACGAGATCATCGAAGGCCGCCCTGTCTTTACTCTCAACAAGCTCCCTGAGTTCGGTAAGAAGAGTGAGCTTTTCGTGGGTATTAAGAAGATCTGCTAGGGACGCCACTAGGTCCTCTATCGTTAGCCTTCGTATTCTGTAGTCTGCTAGAAGTTGGGAGAGGGCTGCACGCTCACTTCTCGCTAGGACTACTCGCGCTTTCTCCTCTACCATTGCCGCTGTTGCTGAGGAGACTGAATGGACCCGATGTCTCCATTCACTGGTAGTGCTACTGTATAATAATTAATTAATCGTCAATCTATCCTTCATTCAAGGGTGAAGTAATGTGAAGTATCGGGGAGATATCGAAATTGAAGTATATCCCTTGAAAAATTTGTTTTCTTACGATTGACCTCGTGTTTATAATATTCCCCAGCTATTGAAAAAAATATTTAAAAAACTCCTAAAAGAATGTGACTTACTCGGTCATTTTATTATTTTGGAATTTTTGGGTTCACATACCGGCTGCGTTCTTGTCGCCAATCCTGGTTAACGCTACACTCTGATACACTGTTAGAAATTTTTCGAAATTTCAGGGAAAATGTGATAGTAATTCTCGGGAGAGTGACATTGAATTCTATTTCAAGGAAATTCATGAGTTTTCAGTGGCAGTAAGACGGAAATTTCACAACTTGATTGAATTTTCAGTGGAACGTGAATATTCAGAAACAAAATAACATAAATTTTCAATTTTTCTCTAAATTTTCCTGATTTTTCCGAATTTTCACGGAATAATTGCACTGGAAAATCAAGTATTTTAATGATTTTCAAATCATTCGAAACGAAAATTAATGGAATATTTCATTTTTCAATGACAAGATTTCCTGAACTTTCAGTGGAAATTAAACATGACAAAAATTTTCAGGATTTAACACGGAAAATTTGAACGAAAATTTTTAACAGTGTATGGCTTGTTATAAAACCGCCATACCATGCGAATTTAATTTGAAATATTGAATTTATAATGTTTAAAATTATATACCTCTTCAAGGGAAGAGCTGGCCAGAGTGGTCCCGTAATTATAAGGAATCAGTTTCTTGGGTGAAGAATTTATTTTTTTAGGAGCGTACTTCTCCAGGCCAGTCATTCGCGAGCGGTCCATGTCCATCTCCAAATATTACAATTATGTTTAATTATGAAATGATTATGCTCGATATGCCCTTGAATAAACAACCTTCATCATTTTTCAATTTTCCAAATTTGAGATTTTCTTCCGCAAAATAATTTGGAATAATTCTAGGTGTTAATAATTGTCAATGGAGTACATTCAAGGTCACATGTAGCATAATCATCCCATAATTTAACATAATTAGAATATTTGCAGATGGAGATTGCTCATGTACGGAGTAACGAATCATCATAAAGATTTTTAAAAAAACATGGATCAGAACAATAAACGAAAATGGATGCTCACGAAGGACTAGGAGGACGATTTCCAGGGCTCTCCAGTATCATCTGAGGATCATGGTCCTGGTACCTTGAGCTTGGTACGACGATTGGCCGGCTCGTCGTACACGAATGAGGAACTTTACCAACGTCTCTAATCACGAGACTCATGCGTTTGTTAGTCTTCAATATCTGCACAGCCTCATCATGCGTGGCCTCCTCGAAGCTCGTTCCATTCACCTCGATAATTTGATCGCCAACCTATTATCCCAAACATTAATTACTCCATAAATCGATATCTAGTCTACATAGTATGGTGACAAAATTTGATCCCAATATTAGTCTACACTAGCTCGTTAATTGGAGTTTTATTTGAACATCATCATATTAGGCTTCAATATCGAATCATATTAATACAAAAAAACAAACTACAAATTAATGAATCCATCAATAGGATATAAACGTCTCCAGTGAGTGTCCAACTGTAAATTATCACATGATTGACATCAGGCAATTTTTATTATCTTATGGCACCTAGCAGCATGAATCTCCTGATAATACGGAAAAACGAGGTTCGATCATATTTAGACACTGAGAGAAAAACAGCAGGGTTCTCAAATAAGTCTTACACTGTTAAAAATTTTCGTCTGAATTTTGCATGCCAAATTCTGGAAATTTTTATCGTGTTCAAGTTTCACTGAAATTTCGGGAAAACTTGTCATTGAAAAATGAGATATTCCATTAATTTTCTGTTCAAATCATGTGGAAATCAATAAAATACTTGATTTTTCAGTTCAATTATTCTGTGAAAATTCAGAAAAATCAGGAAAATTCAGGGAAAAATTGAAAATTCATGTCATTTTGTTTCTGAATATTCATGTTCCACTGAGAATTCAATCAAGTTGGGAAATTTCCATCTCACTCTTACTGAAAATTCATGAAATTCCGTGAATTATTCTACTTAAAACTGGCAATTTCATAACCATTTTTTTCCTAAATCCGATTCAATGTCACACTCATGAGATTTACTATAATATCGTGAATCTCCATGAAATTTCAAAAAATTTCTAACAGTGTACTTGGGCCAAACAATCGTATGTTAAAAATGATCAAAAATTGATTTTTTTGTGACAAATATGTGAAGCGCGCGCCACGATTGAAAAATTTTATTGCAAAAATAAATTTAGTCTTTTCAAAAAAAATTTATTCTCTATGCAAGCAAGAAATGTAATTTCTAGCACTACTTTTCATTATTTGATGCTCCCATACGGATTTTACTCCCGGCAAATGCTCGTTTTATATGAAGCCAGGGATAGTAGTTTGTCGTTTCGGCTATGCAATAATCACAGACAAAAAATGAATTCTCAAATGAAATAATAATAATGATATGACAGCAAACTTGTAATTTCGGGACAAAATATTTCTTGATAAACTTCCCTCTATTAAACATATTTTTATCCTGAAAAGGCACAGTTTTGTGTGAATGATCCGCCTCCTGAGCCAAATATTTCTTTGTTATTGAAAGCAAAGCAATTATTCATATTTGAGACTTTCAAATTCGAATCAAACAATAGGGAACTTGCATGAATTTTTTTCAATTTTCTAATCTCAAGTTTGAGACCTGAATAATTCGATTTTCATTCATAAACGTTTGAAATATTGCTCATTAATTAATAATTAATTGTTAAAAGTTGAAGATTTCAAACGCTTTGAAATTGTTAATGACGTCACACGAACGGTCGAGCGCTGGACCAATCACAGAATAGCTCGGGCCGACCTAACCCGCTCTTGAGATCCGCCTCGGCCAATGGAGGACGACGACTCCCCACTCTCTTCTTTTTCGACCATGACGCGTTACCTGACCGTATTCGTGATGTCATGACCGAAAAATTGATTTCGAAAACGACTGCTTTTCAATTAATTATCATAAGACATCTAGGCAATATTTCTCCATAATTTTCTCCGTTCAACTATCCATGATACACTGATAGAAATGGTGGAACGATTCAGTTGCACCAAACGAGACTTCTTAAATGTTACCGTGATTCGTTAATAGTTAACGAATCGTGGTAATAGTTAAAAAGTCTCGTTTGGTTCGACTGAACCGTTCTATCAGTGTACGAGGAATGTGTGAAAAGAGGAGTTAGATAGAATCGAGCTTCACGCAAGTTCCCTATAATTTTTTTGGTAACTTTCAACTAACGATTTTGTTGGCCCAAACAAGACTTGTTCGAGAACTTGTTCGTTTTTCTCTCAGTGAACTGACCCCAGTAAGAATAATGACGTTCAAAACAATGAATATTAGAAGATGGCGAACATTACCAAGAGACCAGCCCGATCAGCCACACTGTCCTTATCAACCCCAGTCACGTAGATTCCTAAACCGTATTCCAGTCCTCCCCTTATCATCAGCCCTAGGGATTGGCCTGGTTCGATGCAGAGCTCTACCTTTCGTGTTCGTGAACCATAACGCGAGTCACGGGGATGAAGGGGGGGTGGTGATGCTGGACGACCCTGACGATCCATCCAGGAACACGACTGCTGTCTACCAGAGCCTGACCAAACTGGATGACCACCACGACATCTTGGATCTAGGGCTGGTCCACGCACTGTCATGCTCAAAGTACGACAAGACTTCAACATCTGTTTCGAAAAATGCTATTATTTTTTTCTCATTGTAAACCTCAATTCTGAATAATGTTAATGATACGTTGGGGTTCACTTTTTTAACGGGCCGGGATTATGGAGGGGTGGAAATAATTCATTTTTTAATGCTTGAGGTATCGTAGCTAGGAAGATAATGGACAAAGCTGACCGGTCAATTTACCGTCATTTTACAATAAATTATACGTCGTTGATCGAAGGCCAATTGCTGACCATTTTTGGTCAAAAAAAGGTGACGGAGTTTCCCGTCACAAAAATCAGAAAAAATCTTGACGGTCATTTTACGTCTAGATAGAGCGCGACAAATATCGTTGATCATGTTATCGTGTTACTTCGAAATTCGACCCCTGAGTTGAGCTTTGGAACTCACACGGAGAGAAATTTTCTAGAAAAATTCTAGTATGAATACTGGAAAAAATCGCAATCCATCGGCTGTGAAAAATTCTAATGCTGTTGAGGTAAAATTTCTTGGTATTTCTGGTAAATTTTCTGGGGATTTCTGTGAAATTTTCACAGAAATACGGGGAAAAATTCACGTTTTCCCCAATAAAATTTCTAGTGCCGACACTGGAATTTTTTCCTGGCCGTCACTTTGCGCCTCTTTTCCCGTGCTAGCATTAGAATTTTTCTAAAAAAATTCTCTCCGTGCAGAACTCTTCAAATTTAAGTCAGAGATAGCCTGCTTTAGGCACCGTATGTTTGAAAGAGTTCTTTAATTAGTTCTGAAATGAGAAGATTTACAACATCATTTATCCAATGAAAAATTTTATACGACTGTTTTTCTATAATTGAGCTTTATAGATTCTATGATAATAATAAATGAGAAAAATTCTACGAAACTTTTCTGATTTTTTTGCTATTCCGTACTAAGGTAATATTCACTAAATTTTCGATTTCCGTTTTGGCGTTATTCATAATTTTATTCAAATTTCTAAAAAATTTATGAAGAAAATGAAAAAAAAATGAGCGAGCATAAAAATGACGGTCAGATTACAACTAGATAAACGATTTTTCAGCATAATCGACAACGAGAAAAAATTACTGACAATTGGATAAGTTGACTGGTCAGTTTGCATCACGAGGTATGCGTCAAGTCAGAAATGGTCAGAAAACGGTAAATTTACGGCTGATTTGATGCATGTAAAAAATGACCGTCATTTTGCATTCCTAATCGTAGCACAATAATTATTTTCAAATCAATTTTTTCTCTATACTGAATTAAATCAAATAATACCTTTCTGCGCACACGAAAAAATTCAAAAGAAACCTAGCGAATTCGCTAGACGATTCTATCGGATTTCTATTGAACTTTCAATTATCTTTTGGCCGATTCTATTGAAATGTTCAATAGAAAATATTCTATAGAATTTCCATGGCTCAAGTTTTTCCATTCTATTTTTCTTTTTCTTTTACCAAGAAAATCAATCAAAAAAACTTATAAAATTTGAGCAGAGGAAATTCTATAGAAAATATCACAATAGAATCATTTCTACAGAAAAATCGAATTTCATCCACTTTTTTTACAGAATATTTTCTATTGAACATTTCAATAGAATCGGTCAAAAACTAATAGAAAGTTCACTAGAAATCCAATAGAATTCGGTAGGTTTTTCTATGAAATTTTTTCATTCTTGGGCGGACTTGATTATTGCGCAAGAATCTTAGACATGCACAGGTTTATGAAAATTTTCTGGAAGACTTTTCTCATTGTTCTGAGAATATTCTATATAATAGATGTCATCGTGAATTACGACAAGCTTCTGCACTCTGGAGTTGTTTGCAACATAATGCGAAAGAAAATTCCTCGAGCGGTGAAATGGATGTAAGGAGGGACTTGATATGCTGATTGTTGTGCAGTGGTACGAAGGGCTTAGTGGAAAATTCATGAGGAAATTATTCTGCAGATGTCTTGAAAATTAAGAGATTGCAAAGAATTCATCAAGAGGCTTTCTTTTAGCCCGTTAAATTTTCTAAGCGGCGGGGCTTTCCACTAATATCGTTAAACTCCGAATATTCCGTAAGCAAGTTGTGGAGTTATCCCTCTTGAGAACTTTATGACTGCGTTCTAAGAGAGAATTCTTGGGATGCTTGACGAGAGAGATTTCTCATGATAGTAAACAATTTTTTTCTCGAGAAATATCCTTAAGCGTCAGAATATCGCAGAAACTTGAAATTTCCAACTGATATGTGAAATTCAAATTTAGTGCAAAGCATGAAAATTAAGTCAATATTTTTCGGAAAGCCTTTGGACATGAAATTGTATTTTCTAGTTCATATTTATTATTTTATAATATCCAAAAGATTACTGTGGTCGGCGTACAAAAAAATTTCATAGAAAACTTATGGAATTCTCTATAAAATTCTATTAAACTTCTATTAAACTTTCCATTGGTTTTTGGCCGGTTCTAGTGAAATCGGCAGCTTAACCGCGCGTTTTTTCAATATAAAAGTTCGATGAAAAGTACTCTACAGAAAATACCAAAAGAATTCGATTTTTCGATTCAATTTATTCTATTGGTTTCTCTGAATTTCTTTGTTTGGTTTTTTAAATGAATAAAAAAGTATTGCGAAAAAACATTCAATTCTGCGAATCAAATTTTTTTATGGGAAAAAAACTCTGTAGCTCAAAAATTGGAGGCCTTGCATTATTTTAAACATTTTAAGCGTCTACGGGGCAAACCAACAATGAAGGATTAATTTTTTGCACTAAATATTCGTTTTTAGACATCTATAATCAATCTTCAATGTATCAAAAATCTCACTTCAATAGCCTGCGACTTTTAAAACTCATAGTACACTGTTAAAAATTTCCGTCGGAATTATCCGTGGCAAATTCCGGAAATTTTTATCGTGTTCAAGTTCCACTGACATTTCAAGACATCTTGTTATTGAAAAATCAAATATTCCATTGATTTTCTATTTAAATGATCTGAAAATCAATAAAATACTTGATTTTTCAGTTCAACTATCCCGAGAAATTTCAGAAAAATCAGAAGAATTCAGAGAAAACTTGAAAATTCATGTCATTTTGTTTCTGAATATTCATGTTCCACTGAAAATTCAATCAGGTTGTGAAATTTCCATCTCACTCCCACTGAAAACTCACGAATTTCCGTGAATTCTACTTAAAACTTGAAATTTCATAACCATTTAAAAAAAAATCCGATTCAATGTTACTCTCATGAGATTTACTGTAATATCTTCCATGAAATTTCTAACAGTGTAGTCTTCCCTTAAGCACGATGTTATTTTTTATTTACTCTCTTACTTCTCCTCGAAAAGATGAATCTCTCTAATTTTCAATTGATGATCACTGTCAGCTGCTCCTAATTGTATTTCTAGAAGTTCTACACGGAGTAAAACATTATCCTGAGAAAATAAAAATTACCAGAAAAATTACTCTGGAGCACGGTTAAATGGTTCATTTTGATGGACCCGGAAAAGAATTTTCCGTGGCAAATCCGAGTTGAAATGTTCTTGTATATAGCGCGCAGCATAAAAACCGAAGCTGGGACGTGAATTTTCCCGGAGCCGTCAAAATTAATCCACTTTACCGTACTAGCCCAGTAAAATGTTATTAATCAACAGTTCTCTTTTTTTGGGCACTTCCATTGAAAAATTTCTGCCACAAATTTTTATTTTCAAGTTTACAAAACTGTTTCTTCATGATAAAATATTTCCCCATATTGAACCTAAGCTTCAAGCCACTGTGTGAAAAAGTTTTCGTGAATAAATTCTTCTATGATTTAACGTTAAGATATTACAGTAGAGGAAGAAATAAGCAGGAGTGCGTTTTGTGGAGGGTGACGCGCCACCGGGATATCGATCTCCAGGCAAGCCCGTGACGTCATATCCTGGCTATCCTTGACCTGACTCGAGTCCCTGCGTCTCGGAACCGAGTGCTACTTTATCCCGAGAAATAAAGAAATTTCACCCCCTTCCCTCAATTTCAATCAATCGAGAATCCCAAATTCAGCAGTTGGAAGAGGGGAAAAAATGCTATTTTTCATCTGCAAATCCCAGTAGTTGGGTCATAAAACACATTTCAAAATCGATTGGTTCACTGTCGCGGTGATCTGGTGGCTCTATGATTTAAACGAGCCACTGGTGAATTTCAATTCGACCCTCGACGTTCATGCAAATAGTCAGAATACCTGGTATGGATAGCACCAAAGATTCCATCACCATTTCTGGCACTAGTCTAAGGGATAGAAAAGGTATTTTCGTTGGTGTAAATTCAGTTGCCAAACACGTATGATATTTCAGTCGATTAATTCTGAAATGGAATTCTGATGCATTGGTTTGAGGCTGGGTTTATAGTTGTGAGAGGATTTGTGTAATTGAGAGTCGTGTTCAATCATTTTTCATTAAATTTATGGTGAGTTGTGTGTCAACAAGCTCAAGTAAGTGGAGCACAGTTGATTTATTGATGGATCTTGATAATGCGCTGCATTTTTTATTGTAGGAAATGCAACAGTTACAGTTAATGCACCACAGATATGCATCAGTGTTTCCTATACACTGTTAGGAAAGTATTCCTCAAATTTCATTTAAAAATCGTGAAATTTTTAACAATCACTCATTCACACGAACTTTTCATGTATTTTGTTATTGAAAAATCAGTTGAATTCTGGAGTATTCAATGGAATTGCAATTTTCAGGTCCACATAATAATGAAAATTATTAAATAGTCTGAAAATTCAAGAAACAATTTCCCTGAATTGATTTTTAATGCATTGAAAATTCAGTTGGATGTGATGTTCAATTTTCACAAGGAATTTGAACATTCTAGACGTCATTGAAATATCAGGGATAATTTAACATGGAAAATCCAATTATTCTGAATTTCCAATCTGAATGAGAAATTTCATGAACGATTTCATCTTAAATTGAATTCAAATTCACTGCATTGAGAATTCAAGTGCAACTATTACTTAATTTTCAAAAAATATCTAACAGTGTAATTGGTCATTTAAAAA